TTTTCCTCTATCGATCTAACGATATTATAACGAAGCTTATATTTCGCTTTAGACGGCAAAAACAATTAGACTGCTTTATTATAACCTTTTAGGCAGATTAAATAGACTATATATTACTAGTCCTCTATTAAAAGCTAGGTACGATATTTATAACCTATAGATACCTATTATACTCCGTTAGTAGTAGCTTTACTTAAGGAAACTAACTGCCGACCTAAAAATCTCTTAGCCTTTCTTCTATATAGCCTTCTACGCCTTAAGATAGTCGCGCTACTACTTTATCTTCTCCGGCTCGGTAGTAACGAAGTCGACCTTAGTATTACTTATATCTTCTAATATAATCGGAGACAGAGTGTCGGCAAGACTACGGACGAGATAACGCTCGATAACTTACTTAGTAACCGCCGCGATAAAATACTCGATTTCTTCCTATATTAAACTTAGTTACTACGCGAGCACTTTCGGATCTAGCTAAGTTACTAAATAGTAGGCTTGCTTACTATCTAGAGTATCTTCGGCTGAAACCTAATCTATATCTAGTTCCGTAAAGTCGTAGATAATAGTAGTTATAAATTCGGGTTTTAGATAGGTACTATAGGTACTAGTAGTTTTGTTATAGATTTGCTCCTAGGAGTCTAAAGCTATATTATTAAATTTTAATAATAGCTTCTCGTACTTCGTCGACTATATAGTTAAGATATACGCTAGATTATATATAATAGAATAGTACCTCGTATCGTTAAAAATCTAGGCGAGCTAATCCTTAGCTCGAGTCGTACGCAATTCTATTCTCCTATCTAACGTAAGTAATTAGAGCTACGTAGAGACTTTATTCGATACTAAGAAGCTAATAGCTACGCGAACGAAGTTAGAGCATACTTTAGCGATCTGTTTAATATACTAGCTCGTAATAGCCTACTAGCTAGCTAATTGCTCCTAAAACAATTTACTAATAAGTATAGGATTAAACGTACTAGGTAGTTCGCAGCTACGAGAACGGATTAAAACTTTACGAATACGCTCTATAGTATCGTTATAATTTACCTATTCTTAAGTTATAGCAAATCGGTAGTAGTAGTTATCGATTACTACGTCTCTATAGGAGTCTATAGAGTTACTATCGTCGGTAAGGACTTCGGTCTTATACCTATATTTATATATAGCTAGGGCGAACTAAAGGTTAAAATACTATACTATAGCGCGAAGGTAGCGGTTATTAGCCTTATAATCTATAGCTTCCTTAGGATCTACGTTACTAAAGAATTTATACTCGTACTAGCTACTTACTCTAGCTTTAACGATATCTTAGTAGTTAGTAATAATAGTTAAGAGAAAACGTCGCTACTCCTAGAGAGTATAGCGCTTCTCCTCTATAAGCTCGAGAGTCTAATATACCTCCTAGTAGTTCTTATTAAGATCCTTCTAGAGGCTAGGAAGCTTAGTTTTTAGATATCTAAATAGCAATTTGCTTAAGCAGGTGCGCAAAGTCGTAATACCGAGTATATCTAGAGAAAGATCGCGATAATTTCCTTTCGAAAAGAAAGTATTCTCTATAGTATTACGAGCCTCGAAGCTCGTAGGACCTTCCCTATTAGAGCGATTCTTTAAGATATACTAGCTTAATTAGAAGAAAATATCTTAGTTCTCGGCGAGCTCGATCTAAGATTTCTTATTATTAGAATCGGGCTCTAAGAAATCCGGCTTTATAATTATACTAAGGGTACGATAACCTTATAGATCGAAGTTACGGCATTTCTTAAGAATAATCTAGTTAGTATAATTATTCTTCGCCGATACTACTACTATAATAATTGTCCGCTTCTCCTTAATATAGTTATCGACTAGGCTACGAATAAGCTCTATATCCTCCTTAGACTATATCTTGTTTTCCGTATAGATAAGTCCCGGAAGGTCGACTAATATTAGATATAGACGGGTAGGACCGGCAATCTTAATACTTAGGACGTCCCGAGAAAAAGTACGTACTTAGTTTAAACTATTATCGTCTAGACCTATAAGAGTAGTAGCTTCGTCGATAAGAGCTAGAAGTTCGTTAAAGTTAACGATCGAGCTCTTAAAGGCTTCTAGTCTCTTCCTCTCTATTATAGAGCGCTACTTATCTAGTATAACTTTTATATAGATAGACGTAGTTAATATACGACGTAGGATAATCTCTATCGCGAACTAGGTATATAGATTCTCTTTATATAGAAAGGGAATCTTAGTTATTACCTCGAGTATAGAGCTCTTATCTAAAGACTAGTTACCGTATACTATAACCTACGGTAGTTATAATTCGCCGCTTAGCCTACCG